CCCAAACGCTCCTTAGGACCCTCTCCCAAATCTCCCTTCCCCCCGGGACCCCCAAATCCTCCCCGGAATTTCCCCGGATTTCCCCGCCCCGTCCCCGCGCTGTCGGAGGTTTCGGGATCCAAACCTTTCCCAAACGCTCCTAAACCCCCAAAATCCTCCTAAATCCCCCCAAATCTTTCCAAACACCCCTTGGGATCCCCTTCCAAATCTCCCCGACCCTTCTGGACCCCCCTGAATTCCCCCTGGGCTCCCCAAATCCTTCCCGAAATTTCCCCGGCTCTCCCCCGTCCCCTCCCCGCAGAGCGAGCAGCGAGCCCCGATTGTCGGGGACCCCAAAATCGCCCCCAAATCCTCCCCAGGACCCCCCTGGAGCCCCCAAATCCCCCCCAGGACCCCAACCCTCCCCCCCCACCCCAGGTGATCCCTCAGGTGTGACCCAGGTGTGTCCCACAGGTGATCATGGTGACAGGTGACCACCCCATCACGGCCAAGGCCATCGCCAAGGGCGTCGGGATCATCTCCGAGGGCAACGAGACCGTGGAGGACATCGCGGCCCGGCTCAACATCCCCGTCAGCCAGGTGAACCCCAGGTGAGCCAGGGGAACCCCAGGTGAGCTCCAGGGGAACCCCAGGTGAGCTCCAGGGGAACCCCAGGTGAGCTCCAGGTGATTCAGAGCCATTTTCGGGGTCTCTGTGCCATTTTGGGGGGATTTTGTGCCGTTTTGGGGGTCTCTGTGCCGTTTCCGGGGCGCCATCCCGGTGTTTTTGGGCTTCCCGGGCCGTTTTTGGGGGGTTTTGTGCCGTTTTGGGGGTTCCTATGCCGTTTTTGGGGTCTCTGTGCCGTTTCCGGGGCGCCATCCTGGTGTTTTCGGGGTCTCGATGCCGTTTTTTGGGGTTCTGGGGCCGTTTCCGGGGTGCCATCCCAGTGTTTTTGGGGTTCCCGGGCCGTTTCCGGGGCGCCATCCCGGTGTTTTTGGGGTTCCCGGGCCGTTTCCGGGGTGCCATCCCGGTGTTTTTGGGGTTCTGGGGCCGTTTCCGGGGCGCCATCCCGGTGTTTT